TATATATATATATATATATATATATATATATATATATATATATATATTTTTTTTACCTTTTTAAATTGCCAGTTATCTTTATATATTTTTCCTGAGTCTCCTTACTATTTGAGTAAAGTGTCCCTTTTTCTGATAACTTATAGTGGAACATTATTATAATTAGGTATACATGAAATTAGAGTGTAAGACTTTGGGTTCTTCAGAATCATCATTCACCTTATTGATTCAAAAAGATGCTAACTATTTACTAAATGTTGGATGACTCTAGCAAAAATATTGCTTGATCATGGGAATTTTGGTGTATTACCCATTAGACTACCACAATTTCTTTTGATTTTTCTAACAGTTCCATAGCTTTTAATATCAGAGGATTAGAAAGAAAAATAAAAAAAGTATTACAAAAAAATATTTAACCAAATGCTGAAATTCTGGAAGAAGCATTTACATTATACACCTTTTTTTATCATTTCCTTTTTTCAGTTGAATGCAAAATACAAAATTAAATGTAGGTGACCCTCCTTTTTATTATTATTTATTAAATTCATATGCTGCTCATCTTGGGGTCAAAGGGGGCTTTGAGCAGCCACGTAATAAAACATACGACTATAAAAATAATTATAAATATAAAAAGAATTTAAAATGACAAAAGATTACAACAAACTAAAAGATAAAAACACAGGTCTGTTGTCCAAAGGTGATGATGATGCCTTCTCTATTATTGCACCAGCCATCTCCAGCCAACAGCTTCTCCTTTTGTGGCATCACTAATAATAATATAACCAAACTTACATTCACTTGATTAATTGTTCAAGTTTACTCACCTTTAAAACACAGATCACAAAATGACAGTGATAAAGAACAAAGAGATTCAGAGAGAAGATTTCGTGAAAAAGAACCTGAGAGACAAAGGTATCGGTTGGAAGATGGCCGAAAGCACAGAACTCACTATGAATTTGACAAATATGTGAGACGGAATGAAGATGAACCGAAGTGGGAGAAAGGGTACAACCAAGACCGAGGAAAGAAAGTGAACTACAACTACAGCTTCACTGTGGACACAGTAGACAAACTGGGTAAAGAGGACAAGTGTGATGACATGGCATCCAAAAAGGAGCGCATAAGAAATAAGGTTCTTTTATTCATTTAGGATAATCTTTCATTAGTAAAATTACATCAGGGGCACAGAGGATTTGCTTTTGACATCACAGCATGAAACTTTTAACAACTATGTTGAAATAATGTGAAAAAAAAATCCAAAGCAGTTAAGATACCCATGTCCCATTTAAAAGAAAATTATTACAAAGCCTTTTTCTTATGAATTTTTTTCTTCCTAAAAGAAAAAAATATATTCACCTGCTTTGTACAACTGAGTGCCTGCTCTCTTAATTGGAACTTATCAGGACCTAATCCACTCCAAAAAATCCTGACCTGACATTCTCATACGCTATTACTAAAAAGCCTATTAGCCACATTAGTAGTCTAATAATACGGGTGCTGATGAATAACAAAGAGCACAAAGCAATTTCATGTGAGTGCCAGGGCAAGTTATCCCTTTAAAAAAAAGGCAGAGATTTATTTTTCCAAAATGTTCCAAAAGAACACTTACTCCGTAAGAGCCTTATTGTTGATACTTCTGTTTTTAGAAGATTGGTATTTTCTGATATGGCACTTTATTCTTTGGCTGTATGCAGCTGCAGCAAAAAGAATGCCTTGTCCTGATGATGTAGCAGCAACGACAGTACTATCCATTGTGGATCACGCAACCTTTGTCAGTTGCAACCTGATTATAATGAGTTAATTTATCAGGAATGTGAAGCTTTGCTTTAAACATGCTTTTTGAGAAGCATATCTAACTGATTCCGAGAAGTACATTCCCAACACAAGTAAGTGTCTTTTAAATTGTGGATTAATCTTACACCATTGGTTATAGGATTACATTGGAGTTGTTGTTTTTTTCCCCCCATTCCATTATGAAGATTCTCCAGCACTCAACAAAAGGCTGCAAGATGATGCATTTTGGTAGCACTCTAATATCCCAATCTCCATGCTGATTAGCTTGGTAGGCCAATGTTAGATTAGCTTGCAAATATTACACTGTATGTACCAGAAATTATTAAGTCTTTTTTGTTTGAATATTATTATATCCATATTTGTATGAATTTAACTAGCAATTGTTCTAATCAGCATGAGTGGAGACTCTAAAATTTTCCATGGGATAGTTTGGTGTTATTTGTCCTACCACATTTTTCTCAGGTTCCGTTTTCTCCAGAATCTTTTTAGTTTGCTTGAATACTTGCCTCTCAGTGAAAGGAAGAAGAGACAGAGAGAGAGAGTTCTTATTAAATATGAAGTAACAGCGGAAAAAGTTCTTTATATATTCATTCACTTAGGCTGCATTGAAATCCTCGGTGCAATTAAATAGTTTTCTCAGAGCTTTTATGTCCTTTATTTTTTTTTCTGCACAGGATCGCCCAGCCATGCAGCTGTATCAACCAGGAATTCGCATTCGAACACATATGGGACCTACAAGTAGGTTCTATGACTGTGCTGAAAAAACTTCTCAAGAAGTTTATGACAGAGGTTTTGAGGCAGACAACTCAGCTGGTGGTGGTTCTGAGAAGAGTGAAGATGTAGAATAAAATGGACATTCAGCTTTAAGATTTACTGCCCTACAGAGAACTGAATGTTTTTGGAACTTGGCCGGCATTGCCAAGAAAATTCTAGTAGGCAATCTCATTCCTTTTTAAAGTTTTCTGTAATGAGTCTGGTCCTCATGAAACATCACATAACGTAAATAAGAATGCGATTTCTTTTTTCAAAAAAAGGAAAGGACTTGTCAGCCTTGGAATCAAATTAAAGCTGGTTCTCTTCTTTCTCCATGTATGAGGACAGTATACTATCAGCATATGAGGAAAAATATGTTTTCAAAATTTCTATTGATACATATGTAGTTATTGTATGTATTTGTGCTAGGATTAATTTCATACACATCTCTATCTTCTAACACATTCAAATGTGCACATCTTTGCATAATGGAAATTGTTTTCCTACATACACAAAGGGTATTTTGATTTGAGATGTAGGGAAGTAATTTTGAGACAATATTGCTGAAAATTATGCTAGATTTTAGAATGTAGAGTTTGGAAGTTCTACTAATTCCAAACATATTTTAACTTGCTGTGTTTTGTGCAAAACTTTTGAGAAATTGCTACATCTGCTAAACAAAAGGAATATTTAAGATATTTATTTCCAGATACTTTCACTAAAGCATATTTACTATCTTCTACAAATAACATTAATTATACATGTGCAGTCCCAAAGGTGCTTTTCAAATGTCTCCATAGACATTTTCACACTCCCAGGTTTGTATGTACATATCTGTGGGTGAGAAAAAGACAATTACAGTACCTTAGATTTGGTCCTGTCAGTAGTTTTGTCCCAATATGTAATAATTACAGCAACTGCAATTTTAATATGAATCATCAATAAGGTTATAATTAATGCAATGTTTGCATAATTATTGTAGGACAGTGCTCAATCTGCTACATGGTTAAAGGTACATTTACAGAAAGAGATTGATGAGGTTTCTGGTAGGTTGCAATGACATAATGACACAACATTCAGGGCTGCTTAAGGCTTGTTTCTTTCAGGGCCTTCATTCCTGCCCTCCAAACTCATATATCCACCAAAAGAACAGCAACAACTTAAGCAAAATAACTTTCAGTGGGGAGTATGTGGACAAGCACTAGCTTCTGACAATTCTTTATAGGACTTCAGACAAAACAAAAATGTGACGTATAGGCCTACCCTATCATACTTGTCTCTTTTCAGTTTCATAAAATGCTGGGTAAGTGTCAATCTATTTTTAACTTTCTTAAACAGTATTTACCTTTCATTCTATTACCTGAAAAAAGGCTGACTCAAGTCTGAATATTTAATGCAACATAGGCCTTTCATTAAATTACATTTTAAAATCCTTTTGCCTTTTTCAATACAAGGGTTTATTAGTTGTTTTTTGTATGTAAATATTTCATGAAATATATTTTTACATGGCATTGATGGAACTATTTGGGGTTATAAACAGATTATTCAGCAGAATGCACCGTGCCTGCTAAAGGTTTCCTCTGTTCATTATGCTGTTAGAATACATTGTGATATATCTTCTCATTTTTTGTGGAAAAAAAATATGTCATAAGGGCAACTCATAAAATCAATAATGTTGATATGCTTTCTGTTTATAAGAAATGCAGGCCTTTTGTTAACTGTTTTTTAACCTTGTGTTTTGATTTTTTTAATTACTGTATTATCAGCATTTGTCTTAATGTAAATAAAAGACTTTTTGTTAATTTCAGTCATTGGAAGATTAAACTGAAATCTAATCATCTAAATATTGGCTTGTTTTGTTTTCTTAACTTCTGGTGCAGAAATGTGTATGGAAAATAATTTATAGGATCAATGAACATATCCATTGGATGTTTATATAATTTCTTGTTTTCTGAATAGCTGTTCTCTCTTCTAACTGGGGGAAGTGAACCATTTATGTTGAGTTGCCCTTTAGTGTATAATGTTTCTGTTTAAAGAATTTATCTTTAAAAAAAAATAATTATAAGCTTTTGAAGAATCTTCCTCATTTAACTGGGAAAATCATTTCTCATTTAACTGGAAACTAAATACAATAGGTTATCATAATTTGGTACCCTTTAGACAGCATGAAACTGCATCTCCCAGAATTCCAAGCCAACACAGCCACAGAACTGATGTATCTTGAGGAGTGTATAGAGTAGAAGAATGAAGAAGAAAGAGTCAGAAGCCACAGATGCTATGAAACATTGATGGTCCAGGAAAGTTATGCAGTCTGAATAGTAGTCTTCATTAAGAAGAAGATATAAATGCAACATTTTAGAAGAATGTGGTGTGCCTTCTCTGCATCTGTGTCAGATAGCCTTTTCTTTGATGAAAGTTCCTTTGCTTTTCATAAGCTAGAATTTTGGTTGACTGTAGATCAAGAGTAAAGTTATTTTGCAATTTTTTTATTCTTTCCCAAAATTCATCGGTGTTACACAGCTGAAAAATAAATATCCACAATGCTTATTATTAGTATATTCACACATATGAGTAAATCAAGTTACCATCTTAATCAAAATAGATGTTTATACCTCACCTCCATTGCATTAATTCTTAATTTTTTGATATACCTCAAAGCTAAATATTTTCTCTTTATATGGTAGCATGTTAGTTGACTTATAACTTCTGTACCATACCATATCAATTATAGACTATATTATGACAATTATTTAAAACAGTAAATCTGTTTTAAAATAACAATGAAAATTGTTACCTGCTGAAACTTTTTGCAGGTTTTTGACAAATGTTCAATATCCTTCACATTAAGAAATGACATGATATAAATAATCAAATTTTCAGGCATTCGAACTAGGAAATCGTAGTGTCCTTGGCACAAGCTGAGAGTGTATTTCAGCATGCTTTTCCCAAAAATGCTTTGAACTTGCTCTGAAAGAAATAAATAGAGGGGGGGGATTTTTAGCATATGTGCTGCAACAATAGTCCCTACTAAGGCTGTGTATTATGGTTATAGCAATATAATGCAGATTCATACTCCAATAATAAAGGTCATTGCAAAAACTGATCACCTCATAAATTGTGGAATGGTTGCTAGATAAGACTACAACTGTACTGCATTATTTGTTTCAACTTTCATACGTCAGCCTTCTTAATTAAATATCTACAACTGAGAAGAAATAATTTGGAAAAAGAAGCTACCCAGAATGAAGAGGAAAAAAAACTCTGAAGAGACTAGGATATAATACTTGATTTAAGACTGCTTTTAGAGAGTTAGGTAGTAGAGCTGAATTTTATCAGTTTTATTTGATGTCTCAGTTGTGTCCTTTACAGTCAACATGAAGAAATCTTGGTGTGTCTCTTCAAACAGAAAGCAACTTAAATCATGTTGTAATTACATAATATCAAATAGAATTATAATTTTAAATGGAAGGAAAAAAGTTGAAGACCTGGCATATTATGTTTACAATTACAATTGTTTGTAAGAATTTTATTGTTACAAAAGTGTTAATTGATTATATTCAATTGGTCTTCTGAGTAGATGAGATAGAGTCTACCTTTTCTGTGTCTTACCTGTGTTTTAGTATACTTGGTAAAAAGTGGTATGAAAGATGACATTTAGGTTCACCCTTTACTATAAATACTCTAATAAATTTATGACTTATCATGGCAAAGAAATCTAAAGTATATTTAGCGTACCTTTTGATAGGAAAGTTTGATTCCAAACACTAGAAAAGCCATTAATAAGCTAGAAAAGTATCTCCTGGAAACTACAAAACTCAAGCCATTTATATGCAGTGGTGGGTGAACTCTGCTTTTCAACAGCATTTGTAGTCAAGGTCTTATATTAATAACACCTTAATATGAACTGCTAGATCAGGCTCATGCAGTTTTCTGTTGCCAGAGTGGCTATTCAAATTTTGGGGAGACTATAACATGAATGCAATAGAGCTCTTTTACTGTGATCCAAGCACTATTATATTGAAAGGCATAATACTGGAGATACAGTACGGATATACTGTAGATAGCAGCTACTGAAAGCCTTATTTTATATTAATTGTCTAATCCCATTTTAAAGCCACCCGTATTGGTAGCCTTTACTACAATTTAAAAAAAATCATAGTAGAGGTAATCCTGGACGTATGACCACAACTGAGCTCAAAATTTCGATTGCTAAATGAGACAGTTGCTAAATGAATTTTGCCCCATTTATGACCTTTCTTGTCACACTTATTAAATGAATCACTGCAGTTAAATTAGTAATACAGTTGTTAAGTGAATCTGGCTTGACTTTTCAGAAGTTCACAAAAGATTATCATATGACCCTGGGACACTGCAACCATCAGAAATATGAATTCTGATCATATGACCATGGGGTTGCCTGCAGTAGTCATTAAGTGAGAAAAATGGCCATCAGTTACTTTTTTCAGTGCTGTTGTAACTTTATTGAGCGCTGATGGTGCAGCAGTTAAAAGTGCAGTATTGCAGGCAAAACCATAACTTGCAGTTCAATTTTGATGGGGTCACGGTTGACTCACCCTTCCATCCTTCTGAGGTGAGTAAAATGAGGACCCAGATTGTTGAGGACAATATGTAAATAATGCTTACATTGTAAAACACCCAGAAAGTGCTATAAAGCACTATGGGGTGGTATATAAGCTTAAATGCTATTGCTACTGAACAGTGACTAAATAAATTGTTGTAAGTTGAGGACTACTTGTATTAGAAGAAAACTTCTAGTCCAACGGCTTGCCCAATATAGAAATCCTATTCTGGATAAATGTCTGTCCAGCCTTTTTGTCAATCTGATGCAATTTCCAAAGGTTAATTAGCCACCATATAGAAAACTTATTTGTCTTGCATCTCCTGCTGTTCCATTCTTTGGAATAACTTATATCCTAGTATATTGAGAGAATATTCATAGTACAGATGTGCAAAACATATCCTTTAAGGAACAGAACATTTTATTGAGCTCTAAAATGTTCCATTCTTCTTGAGAATGTTGCTGTACTCACATCCTCTTGTCACACTAAGTAGCATTCCCAGGCTTCTAAAGAAGTTGCCATAGTTTGTTTATACTTGGGAAATCGACTCTCACAAATTAATCACCCCTTGCATTAAAGTCCAGAGGAAACTTGAATGTGTATGAATCCCTTTGAAATAATATACACTGCTCAAAAAAAAAATAAAGGGAACACTTAACCAACACAATGTAACTCCAAGTCAATCACACTTCTGTGAAATCAAACTGTCCACTTAGGTAGTAACACTGATTGACAATCAATTTCACATGCTGTTGAGCAAATGGAATAGACAACAGGTGGAAAGCATAGGCAGTTAGCAAGACATCCCCAATAAAGGAGTAGTTCTGCAGGTGGTGACCACAGACCACTTCTCAGTTCCTATGCTTTCTGGCTGATGGTTGGGTCACTTTTGAATGCTGGCGGTGCTTTCACTCTAGTGGTAGCATGAGACGGAGTCTACAACCCACACAAGTGGCTCAGGTAGTGCAGCTCATCCAGGATGGCACATCAATGTGAGCGGTGGCAAGGTTTGCTGTGTCTGTCAGCGTACTGTCCAGAGCATGGAAGTGCTACCAGGAGACAGGCCAGAACATCAGGAGATGTGGAGGAGGCCATAGGAGAGCAACAACCCAGCATCAGGACCGCTACCTCCACCTTTGTGCAAGGAGGGACAGGAGGAGCACTGCCAGAGCCCTGCAAAATGGGTTGTGTTTACAGCCCAACACTGTGCAGGACATTTGGCATTTTCCAGAGAACACCAAGATTGGCAAATTCGCCACTGGCGCCCTGTGCTCCTCACAGATGAAAGCAGGTTCACACTGAGCACATGTGACAGACGTGACAGGGTCTGGAGATGCCGTGGAGAATGTTCTGCTGCCTGCAACATCCTCCAGCATAACCGGTTTGGCAGTGGGTCAGTAATGGTGTGGGGTGGCATTTCTTTAGGGGGCTGAACAGCCCTCCATCTGCTTGCCAGAGGTAGCCTGACTGCCATTAGGTACCGAGATGAGATCTTTAGACCCCTTGTGAGACCATATGCTGGTGCGGTTGGCCCTGGGTTCCTCCTAATGCAAGACAATGCTAGACCTCATGTGGCTGGAGTGTGTCAGCAGTTCCTGCAAGACGAAGGCATTGATGCTATGGACTGGCCCACCAATTCCCCAGACCTGAATCCAATTGAGCACATCTGGGACATCATGTCTCGCTCCATCCACCAATGCCACGTTGCACCACAGACTGTCCAGGAGTTGGGGGATGCTTTAGTCCAGGTGTTGGAGGAGATCCCTCAGGAGATCATCCTCCACCTCATCAGGAGCATGCCCAGGCGTTGTAGGGAGGTCATACAGGCACCTGGAGGCCACACACACTATTGAGCCTCATTTTGACTTGTTTTAAGGACATTACATCAAAGTTGGATCAGCCTGTAGTATTTTTTTCCACTTTAATTTTGAGTGTAACTCCAAATACAGACCTCCATGGGTTACTAAATTTGATTTCCATTGATAATTTTTGATTTGGTTGTCAGCACATTCAACTATGTAATGAACAAAGTATTTAATAAGAATATTTCATTCATTCAGATCTAGGATGTCTTATTTTTGTGTTCCCTTTATTTTTTTGAGCAGTGTATATCTCCTGAAATAGTATGGGATAAAGTTATGTAATAACATACTATGGAAAAGACATGTGCCCCCAATGATTTCTCTATGGTTTATAATCAGTGGTCATCAGTGTACAAGTAACTGCTTCACCCCATTTGGCAGTTTTGCTATCTATCAGATGGTTTAATACAATGATTTGCTTGCAGAACACAAGTTGTTGTTGGAAATTATGTTCCTGTAAATCTGTCAGAACAAAAGCTATTTTTATTCAAATATTATTTAGATATATAAATACCAAATCCAGATATCTTAGTACCAAAACCACCCAAGATATATTAACATATACATAAAGAAAGCATATTAGCACTACACAAAAATCAAAGTGCCATGATCTTAATGAAAGAGAATGCTAACTCTGGATTGCCTGGGTACTTCATATGAAAGTTTTTTTTCTTGTCCTTGGATAAGTATGACTAAGGCATTTTTTGTACATAAGTGATATAGACATACATACAGGACTACTTTGCACTCTTGCAAGTTTTTAAAGTTTCAAATATAAATGAATTTGTCCTGAAGTATAGTTATAATATTTATCATGAAAGATTCAGGACTTTGCTTCCGTATATGTACTTAAGATATTTGGAATGATGAACAGTTTTCTCTATAGTAACCATCCCCATGCAGGAGTGGCACCAGTCATTAAGTACATAAGCAGAACAAACAGCTGATTCTATACATGGAATGAATAAGTTCCCCAGAAACAAAGAAATTAAAAGAAATTAAACAAACTCCATGGATAGAATCTACTAACTGTTTGGCACTGCACTTCATTAGTGTCAAGTAGTTCTCTGGAAGAAACAGGTGAAAACATCCCATCTATACACTACTAAAACTCCTTTAACTGGGCAAAACAGTGCATTGTAGAGCAACAATTTTTGAAGGTAGGTAGCTCAAATAGGCTAACTTACAAAATGTCTCCAAAATCCAAGATCTGTGACACCCAAGGGAATGAAATTTGGGAGACTTGTGGCTGATTTAATGCTGCTGGGCCATTGCTGTTTCTTACATTACTAAACTAAAACACCCGAGGCCCAGATTTGCAAATTACATAAAACAGCTTCAGAAGAAATGAGGGTGTTAGAAGAAGTGATAAGAATAAGAGATAAGTAGAAATAGTATGCAAAACATAGATCTTCATAAGTTCAGATGCTATACTTTATAGAAAAGATGAGTTATGCTGGTAAATGCCATTCATATTTATGTGTACTTTCAGAGGTAAAATTTCTTTGAGTGATTTATATGGAACAGGTGGGAAGTTTAACTTTGCCTCCTTTCAGCAATCCTGGTGCAACAAAGATCAAATCTCTGTGCTGCAAACAATAACATTAACAAACAATAACAAAGAACCACTCTGGTCATTAGAGTGTCAGGCTAGAACCAAGAAACTGTAGTTCTAATTTCGTTTTAGGAATGAAGTTCTGCCGAGCTGGCTTTGAGTTTTAAAAGTGGAACCTTGTGTGCATGCAGTATGACCGTGTGTGCACGTGTGTGTAGAGAAATAAGGAGAGGTACACAATTATTTTCCTGCTTAATACTTGCTATGTAATTGTTCATCCAACAGAAAATCTCTGTGCGTCTTCTTCAATTCCTTTGGAAAAATCTTTTCTTGATTAGGTCGGTAAGTAATTTGCCATGATCTCCAGATAACCTACAGTATTGAGAATTTTAAAAAGAATTCAGTAAGGTATTATCACTTTCCCATTTTGTCAAAAATCTAAACATAAAGCAAGAAATTGAGAATATCATTTGCAACCATTTGTGTTTGAATTATGGTACATTGTGTAGGAAAAGAGTAGTATGACACACGAATGCTGTCATTTGTTTTTCACTCCATGACTACAACCACACCACCAGATTTATATATATAGACATAACTGGGCATATCTGTCAGAACGGCTGTTTGGAACTGCTCTCTGTTTTATCTAAGATTTTGGTCTCTTAACTGACTTAGCAGATGCTTGACTATACAGAAGAACAAAAAGTGCAGCTTTCTCATATCTGCACTTTTTTCAATAAAGGTTTTCATTTCAGAATAATGAGATCTATGCCATTTTACCTCAGTTTTTGTGATGGTGAAGTAATGAAAATCTTTCTGGGGAGCAGGAGCCTGAATCTGAATTTCACAAAGTTTCTCCTGCAGTAGTGAAGACATTCTGTGTCCCAAAGTTGCTTCTATAACTTCTGTAGAGCTTGAACTCAGCCTATTTATATGCTCAAGAAATAAATGGCTGGCTTGTGTTTACATTACTGAGACCAGTTTCTTTACCTAAGGAAGGCTCTGGTAAATAATGTCTTCAATCACCAGTTGAGCAATAGTAAAAACAAAAAAGAAAAGCTATGAATCTGATTAATGTTTGAATTTGGAGGTGGGGGCGGATTTAAATAAGACTATAAAATACAGTAATCCTTTCTTTTTCTTCTGCCTTCGAGTCAATCTTGACTCCTGGTGATCTGGACTTGTCAGTTTTCTTGGTATGCGGATTGCCATTGCCTGCTTTCTCGGCTGAAAAACAGTTTTGCTCCACTTTCCTCTTCACTGGCCTCTTCCAGTGACAAAATGGGTAGCTTTAGTGGCTATAACAGTCACAAGCTATTAAAACACTTTAGACGAGCAACTGTAGCTATTCCTAGAAGCTGTTGTTGACTGTCATTCCAAAATGGCATCAGAGTAAGCCCAGGGAATTATTGTGCATATTAATAATGTCAAGAAGCATGTTTTAATTTGGCACTTTTAAGAATTGTATTTATTTACTTTCTAATTTCATTTTCCATTATTAGCCATTTTAAGGACCTTTTTTGGCAGGAAAGATTGAATACAAAATTATTAATAACAATAATGGTTCTTTCCTCACCAGACATCATATACAGGTAGTCTTTGACTTATGACCACAATTGAGCCTGCAATTCTGGTCATGAGTTATGATGATCATAAAGTAGATCACCATGTGACTGCACCCAATTTTATGAGATTTTTGTGGTGGTCATTAAGCAAACTGCATTCATTAAGCAAACATTGTTATTTTCCAGAAACCGGAAACAAAAATATAAATTGTGATAATGTGAGCACAAGTTGCTGCAAACAGTCATAAATGCAATTATGGGACCATGGGTGGGGTCTGGATGACAAAACTTTAAACCTGGGTTGTAGGTAGTTTTGGGGAGGGGACTTGGTTTAAGCAACCAGTCATATGTTGAGGACTACCTGTATTCATACTTTTTCATCACAGCAGCCAGTTCTTACATAGATGCCGAAAATGAAATGATTAGTTGAGATCAGGTCTCAGAAGGAGGAAATGACAAACCATTTAAAGTTGAAATGGCAACTTTGCAGACCAAATTAGCATTTGCTAAACAAACTTAACTGGAGAAGTTGCTATTGAGTTCATGGGCTCTTTCTTCCAATTAAACTTGTGGCATAGTTAAATGCATGTAGTTGATGGCTGCTATTGAAATCAATGAAAGTTTGAAATACTTAATCTTGGCTCAATGTCTTCTATGTTGCTGTAGTTAGGATTAGAAATATTTTCTAGAATGGTTTTGGATAAGCAACAGGGAGATCCACCTTCAGCTCTATCCCCAGCCATGGGAACTCACTAAGAGCGTGGGCTAGTCACTCTCAACCCAGCCATCCTCCCAGGGAGCTGTTTCAGAAAAAAATGGACAAGGAAAGCCTTTGAATATTATCTCGAACTCCAGAAAGAAAGGCAATAGAAAAATATTTTTTTTCTTCCATTCAATCATGTTTGATTCTTGGAGACTGCTGAGACAAGGCTTTTGGCAAAGTTTTTCAGAAGTGGGAGGAGAGAAAGTGACCAGCATAAGGTCATCTGACTGGTTTTATGTTCCAGGCAGGACTAGAACTCATGGTCTTCCAGTTACACTAATTTTTTCTCTTATATGGCATAATCACTTATGGGTTTTAATTAGAGAGCCTAGTCTAGTGATTAAAGCACCTGGCTAGAAAGCAAAGGCCCATAAGATGAAGTCCTGCCTTGTCCATGAAAGGCATCTGGGTGACGTTGGGCCAGTCACACTCTCTCAGCCCAACTCACCTCAGAGTTGTTGTTGGGAAAATAGGAGAAAAGTGTGTTGGATAAGTTTGCAGCTTTGAGTTACTTTGTAAAAATAAATAAATCATAGCATATTTTTAAAAGGAACTTAGATAATTCTCAGGTGCAGACATATATGTGATTTACATATTTTGAATATTGTTTTGTTTATACTGACATGCTTTTCTTTTAATGCTTTCTCTAAGTTAAAGAGAGAGAAAATCTCTCAGTAGGTTTATCTAATTTCTCAGACCAATCTATACAGTACTTCAGTTGTAATAGTTTACTATTGATTGTAAAGTTGTCAACCACTAGAGGTCAGCAGACAATGCTTTAGTCCACAAAGAAACCTGGATAACCCTCTTTACCTAAAAGAAAAGTAAAAATCAAATGAACCATAGTAATTGTGGCCATATCACTTTTACAAGCCTTGGAAAATACAACTGGTTTTAAAAAATAATAATTAATGTGTAGGCTTTTACTTTAAGTGAACTCTTACAACTTGCAGAGGGTCTTTACATTTTGAGGCCTCAAGTTTCTTTCAACCACTAGGTAATATTGCACAATTTCATTCAAAACACACCGAGATATGTTTTCAGAACATGAACTTTTTCTTTATTCCAGATTTGAAATGGAGTTTCTATGCAACGATTAGTCCATATTCAGAATTCTGGGATTATCTTTTAATTTCTCTTGAATTTTATTTTATTTCTCCCCTGAATTTTTTCCTTACAATTCAGTCCTACATAGATTGGCTTCATACATTGTGCCAATCCATTGACTAAGGTTTAACCACCGCCCCCCCCCCCTCAATTTGCTGGTCAAAGGTGCTGAGCTTCTGGACTAATTAGGCATGGAACTCATTGCCATTGGATTGATGCTCACACCGTGAAAGTCAGCCTTGATACAGGTAATCTTCAATTTATGACCATTCATTGAGTAATCACTCAAAGTTATGACAGAGCTAAAAGTGACTTATGACCAGTCCTCATAATTATGAGCATCGCAGCACCCATGCCATCACATGATCAAAATTTGGGTTCTTGGCAACCTGCACATTTAAATGGTTGCAGCCTCCTTCAGTCATGTGATTACCAATTGCAACTTTTAAAGTAGGTTTCTGACAAGCAAAGTCAATAGAAGAAGCCAGATTTACTTAATAACTAGAGCAAAAATGTTAATATAATCAGGCATGGTCACTTGAAGACTCACTTGATTCATCCAACCACTTGACAATTGTGATTGTAAATCAGGGGCCACCTGTATACAATTTCCTGTATTTGCACAATATGCTAGTTCATTTGCTAGAAGTCACAATTTTGGATTCATTTACCAAAATATGAACAAATTTTTCTAGAGCATGAGCCACACTTGCACTATGAATAGATTGCACTTGTGAAACTGCATGAAATTGCAGTTGAATAGTTAAGAGATGGAACAAAATCCTTAGCTTTGATTTTAAAATATTGTATATTTGAAATTAAATAGTCAATTTTTTTTCCATTTTTGACAGTTTTTTTTAATGGCAGGTCCTAGAGGCACACTGGTGGTAAGTCAAAGTCAAATCTTTATTGTGTACAATTGTTTTGTGTAAAGTTACCAAAGCATAGTGACATTTGAAACACTAAAATTTATTATGGTATACACTTTAATGGGCTTTTAAGCATTAATTAGCACCTCATTCATACATATACAATTTGAGAATAGAGCCAATTAAACAATGAATTCACCTGTTCAATGAAATGTTAAGTGTCTTGCCTTGGTGCATGGCAAGCCTTTTTTTAAAATACTTGGATTCAAATCTATCCAGCTCATGAGGAGTTTCATCAATAATTATCCTCGAGAAAAGCTTATTTATTTTCTCTAAGCTTTTTGAAAGCTTTTAAGCCGATGGCCATTACTATGATGGCATTCACATGAGGTGCTCAGTACGATTCCTAAACACCTCATGAACCCAATACTCAAGGGTACCCAGAATACCCTGACCCGCGTGCATAACCCACGGGCTGAACTGGCACACTTCGAGACTCCGACACGGCCTCCAGTTGACCCGCCCACCAAAATGTGCGCGAGCCGCGTCGCCCTCAGGGGGGCGCCGTCCTCTTTTGCCTGGCGCCTGCGCCAAGCTTAACGACGGAGGAGGGGCTAGTTCCAAGCCGCCCCCGGAGGGGGGGAAATCAAGTGGGCGCCGCTAGCCAATCAACAAGCGGTTCTTCGGTCGCGTCAGCCCTCTTTTTCTTTGTCCCATCCACCGCGGTCGCCCCCCGTTCCCCGCCCCCAACTCCCATCTCTGTAGTTTCTGTCGCCATTATCGAGGGGCTGTTCGGTCAGAGCGTCTTTCTCTCTCTGTCTCTCCCCTCCTCCGCAAACTGTCGTTTTCTCCTGGTAGGTATATTGCCCTTCGCTTGCCTGGCAACGGGAGGGAGGGTCGGTTAATCTCCTGAGGGAAAGGGAATCGGGAAGGAGGCTCGGGCTCGGTGTGGCTCTGAGTCTCCCGCCCTGCTCCGGTTTTCGCGTTCCCACCACGCCAAGTTTGTCCCTTTCGCTTTTCCGTCGCAACTGCCCAGGTTCAGGCGTTGTTTTTTCCTCACGTTTTCTCTATGAGAGTCGCAGGAGCGCTGCCCGCCTGCCCCCTCCCCCCCCCCCCCAAAAAAAACCCCAGGGTCTTATCGGATCCCTGCCAGAATTTAGTCTGAGCTTAAATTTAACCGGGCGGCGCAATTGATAGGCTTCCGACAGTGGAGCTGAGGGGGTGGGGGAAAAGAATGGGGTGTCAGATGACAGCATGTTTTCTTGCATCCAGCCAGGAGAGACGTTTTCCGGGTTTGGGGGCTCGCCAGCTGCGCCAGACTAGAGCTCCCCTCGTTCTTCTTGGTGAGCCATGTTCAAGACCGACGTGGAAGCCTCTAGTCTGGCGTATCTGGGGGGGGGGGGGGCAAGGATGCAGGCAGCGTTTAAACCAGGGGTCTCCAAACTTGACCACTTTAAAACTTGTGGACTTCAACTATGCTGGCTGGAGAATTCTGGGAGTTGAAGTCCACAAGTCTTAAAGTGGCCAAGTTTGGGGGGGCTCTGGTTTAAACTATCATGCATATATATGTTATATATAATTATATGTTAAATTACTCTTATGCGAAGTTACAAATCATTTAGGATTCATTGCCATTACATATGGGAGGGAAAAACCTTCAAACCTGTGTCCATCAGCTATTCTTAACCATGCTTATCTAACCATTGTTGAAAAAGAAATGTTACTTTCTGCCGAATTGCATATAAACACAGATTTAAATTATGTTGACATGAGTACTTTGCTTTTAAACATAGTGTAACTTGCAGAAATGATGAAAGAAGCCAAAATCTAAGGTCAAATATCCAAACGACAGCACTTTTGATGAACTTCAGCTTTGTTTTGGCAGAATGAACCTGGAATGCTTTAATTATTTTGGATTTGGATGAAGGAAATTTCAGGCAAGTGACCAGGTCACATCTATTCTTCTTCCACCTCATCAATTTTCAATTTGCCATATCCCACCTAGCCCCCATCATTCCAATACTTTCTTTCCCTTTCTCTCCCAGGTTGCCATCAATGTCAGCATGGCATATCCAACTCATCCACCTCTGATCTTCCCATGACTTTTCCATGATCTTCCCATGACTTTTCTTCCCTTCCCTCATGCTTTGCCCATGTTCTAGCACAGCTTATCCCACTAGGCTGCCAATCCCTGACTTTCTAAGCACTTACTTTCTACTCCCTCTTTTAGGCACCGGTATCCTTGTTCCCATCTCTACATCTGTTCAAATTAAAATAAACCCATTTTATTCCCTGCATGGATCCAGACTCAAATATGTATATTTCAGTAGGGCTTGGACTATTCAAAACTGACTGTTCTGCCCTTGGAACAATTTGTACACAATATTTTGCACATCCCTAAAAACCAGAAAATCACTAATTCTAATCCTGTCTTAAGTACAAAGCCAAGTGGGTAACTTTTTTCTCTTAGCCCTAAGAAGAAAGCATGGACAAACCACTTCTAAAAAAAGAAAAATGTAGGGAGTTTGATTCCAAGATGTGCACACATGTGCACAAAAATTACAGCTTTTATTTCTTTATAGTTGAATTTTGAAAACTTGATTAAAAGGTTCCTTGAATTATTCTTAGTGACTACAGGGATATGATTATTTTTCTTTTGCATAGTATCAAGGTTTGCCTTTGCTATCTGTTAAAGATTTTTTCATGATTTCCTAGTCTGGCTTATAGGCAAATTTCCTGGCAGTCTCCCTATGAAGCACTAACTAGGTATGATGTACAGTACCTAAGGGGTTTTTTTTAGATCAAGGTTGTCTAGATATTACCATTTGGAAATTTCAAAGCTTTTATTGCTTATGTGAAAAGTTTCTATTCTGTATAATTTGCTTTCATTTACTGCAGTGCTGCTGTTCAGATGCAGTGTTCTGTTTTGAAATGTCTATCTAAGCAGACAAAAATGATATAGTTCAGCATCATACAACAAATATTTAAAATATTTTAAAGTAAAATATTGCACACCTTTCTACTACCGTATTCATAGCATTTTGCCTCTCCCCCAAAACCCCTTAGGAAAAATAGATTTATCCCACTGTTTCAAAAAAAAAAAATTAGATTTTAAAAGCTAACCATAAGGCCTATGTGGTTAAAATATTGTCTTTACAGCTCATTTACAGCTCATAATCTGAGACAGTTTATCTGGTTTTCCAGAGGACTCTGAAATTGGAGCTGCAGATCAATTGACCAATCTGCAAGGAAGGAGAAATGTTTGAGGCACTGAACCTTGCCATTTCTAAACCTGTTGAGCCAATGTGTGAGAATTAATTTGATGGCACCAAAATAGCATAGATTTATTGGAAACATGTTCAGATATCAGGTATTTGAGTTGTCTACCACTACCAGCAATTCCTATCCAATTGTCCTTTGCGCATAATTCAGCCTCACATACTTAGATAATTTATATGCTGTTTCTCCAGATAGCTGCATTATTTTATTGCTTATGATAACATACAAGATACTACAATTAAGCATTTTAAAATTTTAAGTCATAACAAAAAAGTAAACTAAAGGATAATTTCCAAAGACAGTCTGATTAAAAAAAAACTTTAAAAAGTTTAGATAGGCAGGTTTTTTTATTAAGATAGTCCTCAATTTATGACCATAGTTGAACTTGGCAATTATGGTATTAAGTCATTATGGTCATAAAATGGGTCATCACATGACTCCAAACCACCTTTTTGACTTTTTTGTGGTGGTGGTGGTTAAGCAAATGTTGCAGTCATTAAGCAAAACTATATAGGCTATTTTTTGCTGGAAAGTATAAGTAAACACTAGTTTTCCACAAAACTGTTGTAAATAGCAGTCACTGAAAGTGATCATTACAGTTCTATGTAAACCAAACTGTTAAATGCTTTAATCTCTAAATGGTTGAACTGTGTAAAAGAAACAGTATTTCTTTTGTAAAGCAGAACATAAAGAATTCAAAAGCTCTTGACCATTTTTTATTTCTTTTGACTCTGAAGCAAGGCTATGGTGCAAAGATCATTTGGTTAACATGAATTGTTTATTAAATGCTGAAATAAGACAATTTATCAATTAAGCAATGATTGTCCAGATCAGAAATAGTGTCTGGTCTATACAGTGTATAGTGTTCATAAAGTATCAAGTTCCACTTAACTTGAGTGTACATTAATAATGTGAAGTATACATTACTTATTTTCTGAAGAAGGTAAGTATACATTATATAATATATATTGTATAATAAAATAATGCATTGTGTATAATTGCAGAAAATATTGTATATTTTCTTTATACATTGTATAATTTAGGTATTTTGGATTGTTTTTAACATAGCATCAGTAGACTTCTATTTGTGCAACACTCTGTGTTTCCCTTCCATCTCCATTATGCCTCCTGAATCTGGTGTGTTGTGTTATTAGTACTATAGTATCCATTCTAATAGAGTTGGATAAGTTTGAAGTAATATACACCTTAAAATAATCTTTTAGCTATAATTGCCAATTTTGAAATAAAGTGTCAACAAAATATGTTACACTATTTTAAGTAGAATATAATACTTTCAAATATATTCGATATTGAGCACAAGTTGTGAACAAAATGAATAGTTATATGTTCCTCCATCTGGGATTTGTTTATGGAACATTCCACCAGGCTGTGTATATGACCCCCTCTAATAATAGTATCAAGTGCATCAACAGCCAAATTGAGAACTATAAACCAAATCTAATTCACAACCCATGTATTTAAATAAATGAATAAAGAGCAATATATTAATAATTTCTTTTTCTTTCAGAAACTAGAACTAGCTGGGTGTTCTTTATACAATGTTTGCTTTTTAGCCTTTGTAACAAAATGAGCCACGTGGAGCTGGTAAAAATAGCTTAAATTCATAAGTATGTTGATGCTTCTGTAAGACAGATTTATATTAAAACTTTTAATAAAGAATGAAGGATTGACAATATTAACATGTTCCTCTCTAGTTGGGTTGTGGAAGTATAACATTTAATTTTTTTCTTTGTGTGACCTGCATTCAAAAATTGATTATATTTTAACAATAATTGAGTAAACATTTAAGAGTCAAATTGTATTTTAACAATTTATGAACTAATTTTTTCAAAAAACCTTTTATTTCAGGTATAGTGCAGTTTGCAGTTTGGAACATGTGTAGTGTTATGCAAGCTGACAGTAGAAAAATGGACATGTTGAAGATTTTGCATAAAACAACAGAACGCTTAGAATGCGATCACTGTAATTTCAGAGGCTCTGACTATGAAAACATACAAATTCATATGGGTACTATTCACCCTGAGTTCTGTGATGAAATGGATACTGCAGGATTGGGGAAACTTATATTTTACCAGAAAAGTGCAAAGTTATTCCACTGCCACAAATGCTTTTTTACCAGCAAAATGTACTGTAATGTCTATTATCATATCACGGCACAGCATTCATTGTCAGACAAACAGAAGGAAAACCAGAAAGGGGTGTTGGAAACTGAATCCCTCAAAAAGCCTGTCTTTGTGGAACCTCAAAAGCCTTCTCTGTCTCCTGAAACACAAAAATGTACTGTGTCTCCCGATTCTCAAAAGCCTGCTCCCCCTGAACTGCTAAAGTCTGATGTGGGGCTACATTCCAAGATACAGAAGCCTACTTCAGCAACAACTGTAGAACATCAGAAGTTTGTTTCAGTTGCATGTTTGGAGGCACAAAAACCTGCTCCTGTTGTGCCAGAACTTTCAAATACAGTTCCACTTGTGTCCTCAGAAACACTGAAACCCCCTCTTTCTGTCACTCCAGAACCACTGAAGCCTGCTTCAGTAGAGACTGCAGAGATACCAAAATCTCTCCCTGCTTTGTTATTGGAGCAACAGAAACCTGTGACACCCACATACAATGAAACACAAAAATCCCTCCCTGTTGTAGAATCAGAAAAACCCGCTTCCTTTATATCTTCCGAACCACAGAAACCCATCCCATCTGTATCGCCAGAGGCCCAAAAGTCTGCTCAGCCTTCATCTCCACCTGTGGTCATGTTTGAAACACAGAAATTTGCTCCAGCTGTATCTCCAGAGCCCCGCAGGCACTCTCCAACTGTGTCTCCAGAGCCCCGCAGGCACTCACCTGCTGTATCACCAGAGCCCCGCAGGCACTCACCTGCTGTATCGCCAGAACCCCGCAGGCACTCACCTGTAGTGTCTCCAGAACTTAAGAAACCTATTGCTGGTCTATCCACAGAATCTCGTAGGCATATTTCTCAAATCAGAAGGCCTGCTTCAGCACTTTCACCTGAACCACGTAAACCTGACCCTCCACTGTCTCCAGATCCCTGGAGGCCTGTTCCAGAAACCTGGCGATCTGCTGGTAGTATTTCACATGAGCAGCAGAAATCTATCACTATTTCACCTTGGTCCCCAAAACCGCCTACATCAATGTCACTTGAGCCCAGAAAACCTCCTTCAGAACCCCGAAGGCCTGGAAATATGATGTCCTCAGAATCTCAGAAGTTTATGCCGGATACTTGGAAATCTACCTCCATGCCTGAATCTCCAAAATCTAGTCTTGCTTCCTCAGAACCATGGAAACCCATTTCTTCTGTTTATCCTGAAGGTTGGAAACCTGTTTTGTCTCCTGACACTTGGAGGCCATCACCATCTGTAGCACCACCTGCTCCTCCTCCCATGCCTGCGGAGCTGAGGAAACCTGCCCCTCCTATGTCATCTGATATTTGGAAACAGCCCTTCTTTTCTGAGCAGCGTAAGCCTGCTCCTCCTGTATCTCCTGATCCTTGGAAATTTTCTCCTGAGTCCAGAAAATCTCCTTTCTTTCCAGAGACTCAAAAGCCGACCACTTTTGTTTCTTCTGAATTGCAGAAACGTGCTTTGTTTTCTGAATCCCGAAAAAGGGCCCTATTTCCTGAATCCAAAAAATCTGTACCTCCTGTTTCCACAGACACACAGAAACGTTCGTTCTTCCATGAAGCTCACATACCTTTTCCTGAAACCCCAAAACAGGTTGTATTTTCAGAATCTCATAGACCAACTCCTGTCTCCCCAGATGCCCCAAAGCATTCCTTCTTCCCAGATTCTCAGAAACATGCTGTTCTTTCTGAAATCCAGGAGCATACTCCCTTCTCAGACTCTCAGAAGTCACCTAGTCTCTCACATGAATTGCTGAAGTCTCCTGCGGTTTCTCCTGAAATCCAGAAACATAGTACCTTTGCTGAATTGCAGAAACCATCTCCCGACTCCTTCGAGAAACAAAGTTTCTTTGCAGAACCCCCAAAACTTTCACTTTCACCTGAGTTCCAGAAATCAGTTTCTTCAGATCAGAAGCCAGTACAGAATACAGATACCCACAAACCAGTTGAAGCAACAGGCATGGAAGTTCACAAAACTATCAACGATTTCAGTCAGCCTGCTGTACCTGTTTTTTCAGATTTGCAGACTGATAATGAATCCAGTAATAAAGATGGCTTCACTGAGCACCCAGAAGAAGAAAATCCATTCAGTAGTTTGTTAATTCCAAAGGAAGAGCCCATACAACTGAAGGAACCTACAAAAGAAATATATACCTGTCCAAAGAAGAAAGCTAAGAAAGAAAATCCGGAAATTTCTAATACAGAGTTAAATAGTAGTGAAAGTGGAAATACCGAGATGGAAACATCAGACATAAAGGAACAGGAATCCAACAGTGATCAGGAACAATTTGATACAGAGTCTCCTGACCAAAATAAAGAAACTAAAATTGATGTTACCCCTACTCCGCCTCAGTGTGTATTGCAGTTTACAGAAGAGAAGGAAGCTTTCATCTCAGAAGAAGAGATAGCAAAATATATGAAGCGTGGCAAAGGGAAATACTATTGTAAAATCTGTTGCTGCCGGGCTATGAAAAAGGGAGCTGTTTTGCACCATTTGGTTAATAAACATAATGTGCATAGCCCATACAAATGTGATGTGTGTGGAAAGGCATTTCTTTTGGAATCTCACCTTAAGAATCATGTTGCTGCTCATAGTCAGAGTTTGCTTAAATGTCCACGTTGCAATTTTGAGTCAAATTTTCCTAGAGGGTTTAAGAAACATCTAACCCATTGCCAAAGCCGCCATAATGAAGAAGTCAATAAAAAACAGTTTGATATTGCTTCTGAGCCACCTAATCAGAGCCGGCAGAGTGAGGAAGCTGGTAAGGGGCCAGAGGAGAATGCTGAACCATCAAAAGAATTCCTTAATGAACTGCAAACTGAATAAAATTGGTTTTGAAAATTCAGAAATCTCCAAATACATTGGATTGGCAATGTAGACACTGTTGTTTGTGTATAAAACTATGTCAGTATACAGTAAAATTGATGGCAACAATTTGATGCATCGTTAAATGCATTTAAGCCACTAATTAATTAAACAGTTTTGTGTTTGCTTAACTGTGTTGCAATGTAACCTTTATAATTACTTTACCAAAATAGCAGCACTACTGCCAAATTAATAAGCTTGTTCTGGATTGCACAGAATGTCACTTTTAAAACAGAAAGGAATAAAAGTGAAAAATATACAGCTGGAAAAGTCAAATTCTAGCAATTTATTCAACCAAATCTAATTTTGTATTTTGAAAAGCCTGAAACAATAGGAGCAGCACCAAATGAGGTCACATTAATTCTTGCATGAAGTAATCTTGTTTGCCTGCATTTGTATGTTATGATTTTTAATATGTACTTGAGTTCCCATTTGAGTGAATTGCTTGCTTAGGTTATTGAAATAATTAAAAAAATTCTCACTGTATTTGAAACACAATATGTGTGAAATAACTACAGTACTGTCATATATTGGAACATGTATTGTCTTGATTTCAAGGAATGTTTCCTATTAATAAAAATAATTTTGTGTATTTGGAATTATTCAGTTGTATGTGTAGCTGATGTTCCATCAACATATTTCCAGCATTGTTTACAGTAAGGGCTTGATTCAAATTCAGATTCTATACCACACCCAGTTATATTACAGATGATCTCAATTTTCTAAATAAGTATACAATTTTAATGTACAGTAAATGGTGTCAGATGCAGAAGCAAGATACAATTCAAGTACTGTATATATTGTCCTATATGTTTTATACAGAGCTGCTGGCTTCAATATGTTTGGAGGAGGGGGATTGGAGTTTCTGGGCTGATGTACTGCTCTTAGATACATTGAGTTAAATCCAAACATAAATCCAAACATACCTTTTTACTAATAGAGGCAGTCGTAATTAATTTTTACATTACAGCTTTATAGACAAAAAATAAACCCAGAGACACTGTGCTAGTGCAAACATATGGAAGTTCATTATGGTATAAGATAAACTCATAAGAATTTGCAAAATCGTGCTAGTGCAGCCTTTCATTCATTAGAGTTTGTCACTTCAAATCCATGATGTTTTTTTTATAGAAAGATAATGACATTCTGTATATGTTGACGCAATCAAAGTATACAGCTAGAAGGTTAAAGCCTAAAGATATTAGAGCTGTACTTGTACCTAGAAATACTTAGGTAACAGCATTACTAGGCTTTGAGCAATAATTGGATTTTTAAAAAATAATGCAGAAGTAATCTTAGCTTTCATAGCATTACCATATTGTTCCCATGCTTTTTGCCTAGAACTTATGAGTATTTTAAAGTTAAAAATCATTTCAGAAATCTGTGTCATGTCTCACTGAATTAAGATATGAAAGAAATTGGATTTAGGATATACATAATGAGAATAAATATGTACCAATTCTCAGTGTAACAAGGCTTTTTAAAAAGCTATATTGATTGGCTTTAAAAAAAAATTCTGAAGGAGTTTGGCTTTTAGAAATTTCACCCTGCCGAGAACCACTACATCGGTTAGAATGGACAGCATTACTTGTAATGCTACAAATATCTATTCTGCTAGATATCCATGTTATATAGTTTCTGGCTTGCATCACACAGCTAATTAGTACAAAATAGAAAAATACATAAAATACCTAAATTTTAAAATATTTAAAAATACCTAGATGACACATTGACTAAAGTGATTTGTTTGGTTTTGATTTAGTGCGTTGTGAACTTTACTCCTGCAATTTGTAAACCACACTCAGTATATTAGCAGTTGTATAGAACTGATATGCTTTGACTCTTCCAATAACTGTTATCATTTCTGTTTTGTATATAACAATTGGCTGGATCCACAATGTACTATTTTATATAAATAGTGTACAAATCACTATAGCTGGGTTAATAAAATAAACAAGCCCAAACTAACTATGCTATGGCTTATTACCAATAAAACCAATTAATCATGACTTATTGCAACGAGTGAAATATAAACACCAGAAAATAGAGCAAGGCAGCTACACAAAACAATGGCAGCACTGTGGTTATTTGATTGTTTTCTCAAGAACAAAAGGTTTTCCCTGTAATGTTTGCTGCTGTTGTAGTAATTCTGTAGTAACCATTTAGGAATACAGTGAGACATTCAGATATTTGAATCTTAACACGCATGCTAAAAACTTATTTAAAATATTAAGAATATTCAACCAGAGGGCATAACCAAGTATCTTTTTTCAACATACAAGACCAATCCTTTTTTAAATATTAGCTGAGGAGTCCAATGTCATCCCAAATTAGTTTCATCTTAAGATAATAAGAGAACATTTTTAAAAGTCTGAGGCCATTGACTTAGGGGAATCTGATATCCTATGTATTCCAAATTTCATGTACGTTATTAACATAAGAGCCTTCATTTGTTAAATTGTTAATTTAGCTTTTAAAAACATTTAACAATCAGGAATTTCTGTGACCACCAACAGAACATAAGTTGTGGGAAATTAACAAATATGTTGAATGTGTTGCCATTCTATAACTTTAAACATATTCTTTTTGTAACTTTTCAAAAGTCTTTAAAATATGGTTTAAAGTAAGCTGATCTATTCAAGTAAAATTATTTCAATCCAGATTTTTTTAAAAAAATGCCCTCTTGCCCTCCATTTTAAATGATTTGAGAGTCAGTTTCTTATCAGAAAAATCTCAAACTTCAGAACTTTAATTTCTCAAAAACTCCAACTGAAACTATATCAGGATTTCAAAGTTCCAAATCTCCGGAAAACTACAGCAATTATTTTCTCAGTTCAAAAAGGGCCTAACCATTTCATAAAAACTATCAATAGCTTGTTAGTTTGTCTAAATATCTAAATTCAATTTACGTAAGACTGAAAAAATATACCAGCTGTGAAGCTATATTTGTTTTTACATTTATTCTCCATCAGCCCATGAATATTTTCAGTCATCAGTTAATAGGCTTTATATACGCTACAGTAGTTTAAAATGTATTACCAATTATTTTAGAAAATCTAAACAATTAGAATTTTTTATTTTTATATACACGGTGCATAGGCACCAAGCATATATTTTTTTTATACTGGAAATGCTGGAATCTGCTGGAATCTACAAAACCTTAACAGAAGTCTTTGGCATCTAACATACTGCTATAAAATTACCTTGGTTGAACAAATAAGATTTTTAGTGGTACAATTCTCTTATTTGGCATTTAAATAGTTTTATCTGTGAACAGAATCCAAAAGACTTATCGGAATGTCAAATTTTGTTGCAAAGGAATGCGTAGGCAGGCAATGCCAGAACACTGAAGAATGTTCACCAGTGGCCACTTCTGTTTGTAGAAGTATTCTCTAAGCCCTCAGCGATCCTTTACTCTAAACAAGATTGGCTTCAATTTTATGGAACAGTAAGTGCCTTTAAACATGAATATAAATGGAATGTTTTAATATTTAGCTAGTGAGCAAGCTATGTAACTTTACTTTCAGCCCATATGTTGTTTGCAATGAAGCATTAATAATTCAGATGTAATGTTGTTTCTTCCTATGACTGCCTGTATATAACACTACTACTCATTTTTTACTATGAGCATAAAGATGTGGCTTTAGGAAAAGATTGGAGTTACCTGAGTTGCCAAACAGGAGTGGATGGCCTTAGTCTCTTGTATATCTCCTATTTTTATCGGTAGATAAAACTTGGCTTTCAGGACATTGTGGGGAAAGCAAAATGTTTCTTGATTCCAAATTAACTCAAAAGCACCAATTGGCACCTGTGCAGACTTTTTTTTAATGAAAAAGTCTGCTACATTTCTGATAGCTATGCAATAAAAATTCTCTGTCCACTACAGGTAGTTCTCGACTTACCATCACAGGTGAGACCAGAATATCTTTTGTTAAGCAAGATGGTTGATCAGTGAGTTGCACCCAATTTTGTGGCCTTTTTGTCATGGTTGTTAAGTGAATCACTGCAGTTAAGTGCATCCTGCGGTCTTTAAACAAATCCCACCTTTACCATTAACTTTGCCAGGAGCTGACTGCAAAGGTTGTTAATGGCTGCATACCCCGGGAGACAACAACCATTGTAAATACATGCTGGATCGGGTGGGATTCAACCGGTATTTTGCATGCGTGTGTAAAACCACCATAGACTGTGCCACCTGGACAGCTGAAAAGCGCTTGAATTGGCATTTGAAAAGCCTCTGTTTCCTTGCTTTTTCAACCTCACCTTGGCTGCACAAAGCAGCTGAGGTTGGAAAAGCAGGAAAAGGACAGGTAAGAGCCCAGGTGGGCGGGTGGGGCAAACAGCAGCAGACACAGAACCGGTTTGGTGTCTGCTGCTCTTCAGAGTTACCGGCTCTATAGAACCGGGCAGAACCAGTAGCATAACACCCCTGTGCTGGATGCCAAGCAAATGGTGTGGTAACATTGAATGGGCGTTAAATGAATGGCTCTAATCAAGAACTACCTCAGAAGGTATATTGATAACCATATATAAAAGATTGTTTTAATTCTTTCATAGCTGTAGAATTATTTTAAGCCTGCTCACATATTAAAATCTAAACATTTAAAATAAAAAGATACAAGTTCATAGTAAAAACATCAACACTTGCTGAAAATTGGCAAGAAGATTGTAATCTTTTAATAGCCACAGCCAATCTCAATTAAAAGCTATTCTAAGCAACCAATTTTAAGAATCTAATTTAGAACAATCATAGACGTAGGCGTATTTCTAACAGATTTTCATATTACTGGGATCAACAAAGAAAAGGTCATATCTCTTGCTCTTGACAGTAGGACATAAGGCAATTTTTTTCAAGACTAGTAGATCATATAGTAGTTCATTCTGCAAATGAACCTGTTTCAGATATTATGTGTCTACAAATTGTAATACCTTTCTTTCATAGAACAGCATCACTGGGAGAAAGAGATGATGATTCCCGTCTGCTATAAATTTATTTCTTTCCATAAGCATGTATATATTATGGCATAATATAACCAGGGCAAATTAAAAAGATATTTCATTCCATGCCCAGATACTTTTTTACTAATTTATCCCAAAAAATTTACCTCAAATATTTTACTGAAATTCTTTCTACCTTCTCACTTGAATTTTCAGACTGCTTTTACAAAGATAGAGTCCCTTTCTTCTTGCATTATCACAAAACATTATTCCACAGTTTCATTTGCACCTAGTGTTTAAAAGCATGCCCTATGAGAGAATCATACCTAAAGGACTGGTAGCAACTTATGAAGACCATAATACAGCTATAATTATACTATGCTTTCTGGCTAGTTTATAGCTTATTGTAGCTGTTATTTTTTATTATTTCATTTTTTTTAAAAAAAACAATAGCACTTAGATTTATATACCACTCAGGGATGGGCTGCTGGGTTCGGGAGAGCCCCTAGCTAAGATTCTGTGCAGTTTGGAGAACCCCCAAATCTCAATCCCGGCTGACCCTGCCCACCCTGCCCCTCCCTGGAGTCCCCACACAGCCCGCTTTGGATGCAGGTAACTGCAGAGTGTGCACGGAGGCTCAGGGAGGCTGGAAATGGGCCTGTTTCCAGCTTACAGAGAGCCTCTGGAGCCCAGGAGGCCATTTTTGCCCTCCCAGAGGCTCAAGGAAAGCCTCTGGAGCCTGGGGAGGGCAAGAACACCCACCACCACCATGGTGCAGGAGGCCGACAAGACCATGCCCACCATGGCCACAACCAGGCAGAGAACCTTTTGCTAAACTTTTTGAAGCCCACCCCTGATACCACTTCATAGAGCTTTGCAGCCCTCTCTAAGTGGTTTACAGAGTCAGCATACTACCCCCAACAATCTCTATCCTCATTTTACCGACCTCGGAAGAATGGGAGGCTGAGTCAACCTTGAGCTGGTCAGGATCGAACTCCTGGCACTGAGCTGAATCAGCCTGCAATACCTCATTCTAATCATTGCACTACCATAGTTCCTTAGACAGTTCCTGCCACATAAGTTCTCCCCACCTAGGTACACCCCAGTATCTTACCAAAACCTTTGCCTCAGGATCCATCCATGTAGTTGATAAGAGTCCACACTGAGTTGATGTCACATAATGAAATAATATTACATTTTTTTCCTCTGGTTTACTTTCTGGTCTTTTCTTGGTAATAGCATATTAATAGTTTTCTCTGAAATAGCTGTAGAATAACTAAACGTTTTGCAGCTTGTAGCATGCAAGATATTTGCAATGTGATTTCCATTCTGAATCAACTACTGGAATCTAACTTTCCTGTTGGATGGATGTCGGGAGCAACGTGTCCCGTACTTTCGCTGAATTATTTTCTTCAGTACTTATAATGATGTTCCATGGTTAGTTTGTTTTTTTTTTCCTTTTTTTTCTTCTCTGTATTCTTTCTATTTAATCTTACAGCATGTTGTATCAAAATGCTTGGCTTTGATGCTGTTTTGTTATTTGGTCTGTGGAGAAAGACCATCTTTTGTGGTTGTTGGGGTTTGTTTTTTTTTGTTAATTTGGCCATGTAATAAAGTTGAATCAATTAATTGCTGTCCTCTAACATTTTATCCCTTGACAGAAAAATTGTGGGGGAGATCCCAACAACACACAAAAATGACATTGACTGACATTTTTGTGATTTACTGATTAGTTGCCCTAATACATTGTTTCCTCTTCTTCATCCATCACCTTAATTTTTTTTTTTTGCAATATTTATTTATTTATAATTTTTATTGGCTGCCCATCTGACTCTGGGCGGCTTGTAGTTATAAAAATATATATCTACATTAAAATATTTTTTATCTCTGAACTGTGCAAAATCTCAGCTAGTAGATCTCCTGAACCCCTGTGAACCCCCAACAGCCCATCCCTGGGCTTCAAGAAAAATGACAAATTGGCAAAAATGACCTTCTTCTGTCAGTGGAATCCCTCCAATGAACAGGAGGAACCCTATTTGCAATAAGTCCAAGTTCAGATTCACCCTATATTTTTATTTTTTTGTGTGTTTTAAAGTTATTTTTAATCTATGAATTACCCCAGGAACTTTATTTTGATGGATAAACCAGAAACAAACAAAATGAAACGAATCAACGAAACAAATAAATAAAAATAGTAGCAAAATGGACTGGAAGGGGAATATTATTCAAAATGTTGATGTACAGATTTATAATGTAGGTGTCACGTAGGTCTTTTCTCAGTGTCAGTGATGTGACAATTCCTTGTGTTGAAATGCTGGCTTGGGAGTTGCAATGAAAGAGGCAAAAGGATTTCAAAAGACGGATTGTATTTGATTCAGTGCAGGCTTTCTTCCATGGCAACTGAGCTAAGAATAATCAGTAATCTGTAAACAGAGCAGCTCTAATTTCTGGGCCGTAGAGCAGGGAATTCAGATTATTAACTAGCTCCAGATCAAAATGGAAATATTCAAGTTATTGAAAAAATGTAAATGATGTTTAAGAGTAAACACCAAACTTTCAGGCAGATACAATTTAGAAACTGGTGCAAAGGCAATTAATTTGATTAGCAAGTCTTCACATTACTTTAGATTATTTTTCAGATTTATACCATATCTTTATGTATTGCTTTTTTCTTTTTAGTTTGCTACAAATAAAAATAAAATGTGTATTATGTATATAAACACACATACACAAACCCTTTCTAATCTAGCAGAGCTGAGAGTGGCTAACAAAGTTAGCTGATTAGAATACTGTGAATTCTTACCTAAAATGTATTTCAATGTTTATGTGTTTATAGACTGCCTGACTCCATCATGAAGCTGCAGGTATACAATTTGTACCAATTTAAATACAGAACCAACCATCAGGGAGAATAATACTAATATAAAAGCAAAGATCCCACAGACGTGTATCACCCCTGCTAGCCTGAAATCTGATGGAGCAGCAGGAGTTGTAAGAGCTTGTGTAGAGGTAAAAGTTGTGAACAGGTAGAGACCCTCTGAATCTCTGGGGGTGCATCATTCCAGAAGGCAGTAATGTGACAGAGAATGCCTGCTGATGGTTCCCACAGGGGAACTTTAATTCTTTTATATTATTGCTGCTGATTCAAGATAAGTAGCCCTCCCGGATGATGGCTGCCAGCTGCTTTTGCTCCAGATCAGAGTTGCAGTCTTAGAGATCTAAGCCATGAGAATGTCATGTGTGTAATGATGTTGCAACATAAATTATGCAATTTATAAGTCACCGTTCCGTGGACTCCCTTGATTAGTAAATTGCCTGTTGCAAGAGGATGGCA